GTGTGTGTGTGTGTGTGTGTGTGTGTGTGTGTGTGTGTGTGTGTGTGAATGTGTGTGAATGTTAATACCTGTATATTTTGTGCTGATAACTTATTTTGTCATTGGTTGAAGGTTCAAGAGCTCTATAAGAAACAGGAACAACTTAATGTAAAAGAAACCAGTGAGGCTCAGGGGAAAATGAATGAACTAGACCAAGTCAAGGCACTTCTCTTGGCCAAAGACTCAACACTACAGAGTATAGAAAATGACAGGCTCCAATTGAATAAACAACTTGAAGAAAGTCAAGAGGAAATAAAAACTCTAATTAGGGAAAGAGAAGAACTGAAAAGAATACAGGAGACTCTTCATGTGGAAAGTGAGCAACAGAAAGAAAAGATTCAAGAAATTGGCGCTAAGGTAAATCTCCACCTGCTAATTTGGGGAAAACAAAATAAGACTAAGATGATTGTGGTGTCACCTTTTAAGATTTATTATTTTTTTTTCTGTAATAATAGAAATGAACTAAAAACTGTTCGTTTTCATCTGAATGACTATGTAGAAAGTGCTGTTTCAAGTAATAATAGGAAAGACAGATGAAGCAGTGGTACCCAACGGGATGTAGGAAAGGCAAATGCTGACTTACGGGAGAAAGGTCTTCCTTGTTAAGTAGAAAACGATGTCTACCTAGTTTTTCTTTCCCTCACCCTCTCATCAAAGAAAGCATGGCAGACATTGCACTAAAATGTACAGGCACTGTGGCACACGCCTGTGATCCCAGCACTCAGGGAAACAGAGGCAGGCAGATCTCTGGTTGTTTGAGGCCAGCCTGGTCTACAAAGCAAGTTCAGGACAGCCAAGGCTACACAGAGAAACCCTGTCTTGAAAAACCAATAATAATAATAATAATAATAATAATAATAATAATATAAAAGATTTGCCTTGATTTAAGAATATGTCTTCTTTTCTCTTAAAAATAAACAACCCACTGCTGTGTACCTGGGACCTAACTTGTTTTATTTTCTCAGCTCCAAGACCTTCAGGACAAAGAGTATGAATGTCTTATGATGAAGGCTATCACGGAGACTCACGGATATAGATGTGAAGTAGACCGCTTGAATGAGCAGTTGGAGGCCCAGAAATCAAATCTGGAAAAGGTGGAAGCACAGAAAGTAAACTTGACTCAAAGACTTCATGAAACCCTTGAAGAAATGAGATCTATAGCGAAAGAAAGAGATGAGCTGTGGAGTGTGGAGAAGCGCCTCACAGTAGAGAGAGACCAACTGAAGGAGAGCCTTGAAAAAACAGTAACCAGAGTGAGTTGCCATCTTTCAGGCATCATGCAACCTTAACGTCCTAAAGACTGCTGGGTGTCAGGGTGGGCCGAAGTAGGAAATTAGCCCTGAAGAGTTTAGGTGTGGCTTTTTGCAGCATACATTCTCACAGCTGTGCAACAATATTTGTAGATATTCTTGCTGACTATTAGTAGAGGCCTGGTACAATAAGAACATCAAGTTTGGCTCGTGGCATGCTGTACCTTGGGTAACAAAGCAGGCTGACGCACACTGGTGGTGCCCCATCCTGGGAAAAGACCAGCTGACAGTGGTTTATGGAGAGTATGTGGTCATACCCAAAGCGCCAGAGAGTGGAGTCCAGGAGGCCTCAGGCAGAATAAGAGGACTTTATTTCCTTTTGTTTTCCTGCTGTTTGAAATGTGTTTCTGTCAGTGGCCTTCCTTCTCTCTTAATTTTAAGAAAAAGGAGGAGGAGCTAAGAGCACACACATCTATGTGAGCACCAAGAAACACCCAGCAGGCTCATTGAGGTTGTGTCTCATAAAACACATGGAATAGCATGCATTCAGGGGGACTTAGTACACACAAATGCTGCTGTAGATGCGCAGGTATTTTTAACCTGAATAATCAGGAGATGAATCAGCTCTATATGCTGAAACAGGCTGTGAACATGTCTAAATTACCTGAAGGCACAGATTTGCTGATTCAGTTTTAACACTGTTGTTTGGGGGTTTTGTCTGTATGTTCAATACTCTAACTTATCATATGATCATCTTAAGAGCCAAGAACTCCAGGAAAAAAACCACCAACTTTCTCAAGTCGAAGCTGATCTCAGAGAAACTATGGATCAAATGGAGCAATTGAAGAAGCAGCTAGAAGCCCAGAATTCAACTCTGGAGAGCACAGAAATAGAGAAGTTAAAATTGACTCAACAACTTTATGAAAACCTTGAAGAAATAAGAGTTGTCACTAAAGAGAATGATGGCCTAAAAATTATGCACGAAGCCCTCAGAACAGAGCAAGAACAACTAAGGGAAAGTCTTCGACAAACAGAAGCGAGCGTAAGTTCCCATTTCTACCCTGGCAAGTCTCCAGATCACCTCCAAGAAGTAACAAGTCCTTCATGGTAACAGGAATAATAGTCTTTTAGGCAAGCGGCTTGCTATTCCTGAACTTTTTTAATTCAGCGTGTCTTTATGGACTTTTATCCTAGACCTGTCTTGAGTCAGTTGTTATGTATGCATATGAATGTATGCATGAACATATATACATATCTATATACATAAACATATACACAAATAGACCCCAAAGTTGCTTGGTTATAATAGTTCGTGATTAAAATAGGAAGCAACCTAAATGTATCTTAGAAAGAAACTGGTAAATATAAGCAATATACTATGCAAGTCCTTAGAAAACGTTGCTCTCAATATCCTGTTCAGCAGCTCAGAAAAATTCAGAGGGAAGCAGTTTGGTAAGTAAAATGTGGGTGATGTGTTGGCTTCTTCAAGTAGGTGTATGGGGGACTGAAACAGAAAGAAAAGGACTGTGAATTTCCAACGATAGAGAATATTAAGGCATAAAAGCAGGCCCATGTTGTGGTTCACTGGGAAAAGCAATTGCTGCACAAGCCTAGTGATCTGAACTCAGTCTAAGGTACCTGTTAAAGGAAGGGGGGAAATAGACACCACAGCCTGTCCCCTGACTTTATGGGAAGCTACACGCAACAACAATAATAAATATTAATAAATAAATAACGATTAAGTAAAATGTTTAAGGTAAATTGTTTAAAAGAAGTAAAAGCAGGGCTGGAGATAGGCTCAGCAGTTAAGAGCATTTTCTACTCTTCCAGAGGTCCTAAGTGCAATTCCCAGCAACCACATGGTGGCTCCCAACCATCTATACTGGGATCTGATGCCCTCTCCTGGCACACAGGTGTACATGTAGATAGAGCACTCATATATGTAAAATAAATAAATCTTAAAATGATTATTAAAAAAAGTAAAAGCTACTGACTGTTATGAGTACAAGGTCCTGAGTTCAATCCCCAGTTCCACAACAAAAAGAGTAAAACATGATTATTTTTTTACTAAGAAAATAAATCACTTATTTTTTTTTAAATACTATTTAATATTAAATACGTCCCTGTTTTAAAAGGATCTGGAAAAGCAAGAGAATCTAAGAATTGCTCACATGGATCTGAAAGAACACCAAGAAACCATTGACAGACTCAGAGGGACTGTCTCTAAGAAGACTGATGAAGTATCAAATATGAAAATGGAATTAGAAAATGCAAATATTAAGTTACAAGAAAAGGTATTGATTGGTCAACCCATTTGTTCATGTATTAAAAGCTTTGGATTATAAAGGTTCAGCCACACTGGGAAACAGTTTGACAGTATTCACTGTAAGGCCTGGCATTTCCGTTTCTTGGGTGGGTACTAAAAGGAAAAGGACATTCTTCTACATAGTCTACAAGAATTTTCATAGCAGCTTTATTCAAAGTAGTAGGAAATGAGAACAACCTAAATACCAGCAGATGAATGGATGATGATATTGTTATTGTAAGTTCAGAAGGAAACAAAACTGATCCAGAATGTTAAAGGTCTGAATATTTGCCTTGAGAAAAGGATACATAGATGTTTTCTGGGCTGCTGGAAATGCTATGGTTTTATAGATGTATGCATATGCCAAGAATAACTGTGCCATGTAGTGGTAGGGGGCACCTTTAATCCCAGCATTTGGGAGACAGAGGCAGGTGGATCTCTGAGTTAGAGGCCAGCCTTATATACCAAATGAGTTCCAGGATAGCCAGAGCTACACAGAAACAATGTCTGAAAATAAATAAATAAATAACTGAACTCTACATTTAAGATGAGTATACTTTATATGTGTGTTCTACCTCAAAAAGAAAGCTGCATGCTTTTAACAAAACAGTGATAGAAAATACATGGAACGTTTACTTTCTTAGTCAATTTAGAAACTTCTTTTTCCCTCCTCACCCCCTGGAGCCTACTGGGATTAAAGGCATGAATGACCACTCCCAGAAAAAACTGTTCTTATCTTTCTCTTGATGGTCCATATTCTGGCCTGGACAGATGGCCTAGCAGCTAAGAGGCACTGCTCTCATAGAGGACCTGAGTTCAGAGTCCAGCATCCATGTCAGGTGGCTCACAACCTGGCCCCCACTCATGCACGTAAGCACACATACACATAATGAAAAATGAGATAAGCTTTCTTGAGCTGGAGAGATGGCTCAGTAGTCCTTCAAGAGGACCCAGGTTTGATTCCCACAACCTATGTGGCAGTTCACAACTGTCTTTTACCTCCAGGCCCAGGAGATCTGACACACTCTTCTGACTTCCATGGCTGCCAGACATGTAGGCAAAACATTGTTAGCCGTAAAATGATGCAATTATAAACTAAGTTAAAAAATCAAAAATAAAGGTTTCTTTTAAAAGGGTCTGAATCCTAATGTGATTTTATGTTTTCAGGTTCAAGAACTTAAGACAAATGAGCTTCAACTTGTTAAGTTAAAAGCAGAAGCCATTGAAACCCAGAAGCAACTCAAGGAGCAGGGTTTAACTCTGAATAACATAGAGATGGAGAATTTAAATCTGGCTCAGAAGCTTCATGAAAACCTTGAAGAAATGAAATCTATAATAAAAGAAAGAGATAATTTAAAGAGAATTGAGGAGCTACTCAAGGCAGAGAGAGACCAGCTCAAAGAAGACCTAAGGGAAAACATGCACAAGGTGAGTGTGTGTGTCTTCCTGTCTAGAAACAGTACTCTTGGAAATGCAAGATCCATAGGTGAAACACTCTCTCTGACTCTGTGTGAGTGTGTGCGCGCGCGCTGGTACCACAGTGGCTCGAGTAGGGTGTTGGATCTCTTGGAACTGAAAAACAACAAGTGCTCCTAATGGCTGAGCAGCCATCTTTCCAGCTCAGCAGTGTCTCTTTGAAAACTCACCAATGCACACGGTACAGCTTACCACTTCTAGGCATTTCCCCTACCCGTATATTCACTGATTGGGCAAGAATACTACGCCATTCAGGTTAGAGTGATTTGTGGTGACCAAAATCTAGAAGCAAGCCAAGCTGAATGGGGTTCATCTGTACATTGGAATTCTAAGCCTGGCATTATTTTTGTGATACTGACCTTAAAAGATAGTGATAGAGAAAAACATGTCAGGGAATTCAGTGGGAGCGGCCTTAAGGGGTTAAGTAGGTCAGACTTGTACTGTGTCCTTTGGCCCTCGTGTATGCAGGCACCCTGTAGACCTCATGTCTTTGAGTGTATTAAAGGCAATTAGTCGTTGAAAAGATAATAAAATACATCAGTATGGCTGAGGATTCCTGATCTGGTATCTGAAATACTTGATTTTAGAAAGGTTTTGAGCACCAGAGTGAAGCTCAAAAACTTGAAATTGAGAGGATTGCAGATCACGTATTTTCAACCAATAAAGGCAAGCCTGCTAACCCTAAAACATGAACCACTGATTGTGAGCGGTTCAGATTAAGGTACTCGATTATGTATATGTATATGTACATACATATCAGTAGACCTACCCTTCCTTGAAGAAATCCTTCATTCTGATCTATTTCATAATTATCTCAAGATCCAGGAACTTCAGAAAAAAGAGCTACAGCTTCTTAAAGAGGAAGATGTCAGTAAAGTTTATAAAAAAACAGAGGAAACTGAGCAATTGAAACAGTTTGAGGTCCAGAATTTGCATGTGCAAAGTGTGGGTGAAAATAACTTGCACTTGATTAAGGAAGTTCACAAAAACCTTGAAGCAATAAGAATTGTAGCCAAGGAAAACAGTGAGCTAATCAAGATGCAAGAATCTCTCAAACTGGAAAGAGAACGATTCCGAGAAACCGTAAGAAACTTGATAATAAACATGAGCTCAGAATTTCGCTTAGTGACGAAGACCGCAGGGCGATTAAGGGGAGCGACCAGTGTGTGTCATCTGACTTGTGGTTGTTGTTTTGTTTGTTTCTTTCTTTTGTCTTTTTCCCCTCTGATTTTTTTTTCTGGAAACTTCTATAGGTATTAAAATTTTTATCAAACAAAAAGGAAACACAAAAGCTGTGTTTCTAAGAAAAGATTTGTTAGCTAACACTATTTTCCTTATAAGTTTCTGAAACAACAGCAAAAAGAAACTAGCATTATTTTAAGTTAAAAAAAAAAATTCAAAGAATATATATATCTCCTGTCCTCTGCTAATAAAGTTCCAGAAATGAACTGTTTGTTTTTGTTTGTTGGTTGGTTGTTGTTCCTTTCTTTCTTAGTTTTTGATTTTTTGAAACAGGGTTTCTCCATGCAGCCTTGGATGTCCTGATCTCCACAGCTTTGAACTCAGAGATCCACCTGCCTCTGCCTCCCCAAGCGCTGTGAACAGGTTTTTATTACTGAAGTTAGAAGGAAAAAGCAAAGTAAAGATTGAAAGGAAGTTTTTCCTGACCTTATTTCAGAATAATCTTCAAAAGTTTAATTCAGTCCTCTTAAAAACTGTGGAAAAATTAGAGAGATGTGTAAAGTAAATCTATAGCTGTTTGCATTTGTTTGAAGGGTAAAATGTAAAGCCTGTGTGCAGGGTTACCAGAACCATGCTCAGGGATCCTGTGTACGTGGGGCCTGTCCGTGTTTACAAACAGGCTCAATTCCTTTGACAAATCTATATTGAGCAGATAATTCTAGGTACTACAGTGGCCAAGTTAAACTAATGGTCAAAAATGGGGTTGGGGGAGGGATGTGCTTTTTAATCAGACACAGAAAGACTGCGCATAAAATTTGAACTTTCCACCCCAAGGTCCCGGGAAGAATATACAGGGCTTGGGTTTTCTAGGATTAAGGTTTAGTTGGTGACAATAATTGTAATGTGGGAAAATAGGAACCAGAAATCTAAGACCTAAGATAAGCAAATGCTTCTCACAGCATTCCTTCAGTGAGTTTGAAGTCATTCATTGTGTAACTTACCTGTAATCTTGCTCCCTGTTGTTTGCCTATGCCTATTTTAATACTGTTGTTATATTACAATGAAATATTTAATTTCATTATTAAATTTTACTTGCTGTGAAGTGTAAGCATGTATGATTAGACTTGCTTTGTGAATATGTTTATTTCTGTGTATTTCTTTGTACCAGGACCATCAAAACCATGATGAGACAGTAAACCGTGCAAAAGCGTTACTATGTGGAAGAGAACAACCCTGTACAGAAAACCTTCGAGAAAAGTGCCTCAGGATAAAAGTAAGAGCCCCTTTGGAGCTGCTAGGCATGGTTGCTACTGTTCCAAAGGCATTGTTAAAGGAAGCTGTGTGTGGGAATAGATAGGACCAACTGTTTCCCTGAGCATTGTAGTCTAGCACAAGTTATGCATGTGTGTCCATGAGCACATATGTACACATGACACCAGGATTTGATTTGTTTCTGAAGGCCTATGTGGAAAGGTGATACTGAGCCAATGTCTAAAAGCAGTACAGGTTTCCGTTCACTCAGGGAAGACTGCTGTAGGAGAGGGAGCTGTGAGTGCAAAGGTCATGAGGCTGCCTCATATTCAAGGAATTTCAAGAAAGAAAAGTCAGAGCTAATGGAGGAGTGGGCTGTGGGGTCAGGAAGGGAGTCAGGGTTTGCTCTGAGTGGGAGGCGGTCCGCTTCAGAGTTCTTCCTTGTAAGACACACAGCCTGTCCTATGTTGAAAAGATCTGAGTGTTGAAAGTTGAGTATAGGCAGAGACCTCATTTGAAAGATGAATTATATCATGTAGACAGAGATAACAGAAGGTAGCCGTCAAAACAGTATTGGCAGCTCCTAAAAATGTGTGCAGCGACCACGCCATGATGGCAAAGAGCAATTTGGGTCACTGATTTATCTGCAAACTCTCACTGCTTTTATAAGCATAAGCCAGCTCTCAGTCTTGTTTTATGATGCACAGTCAATTTATTCAAAAGAAACATTGGCTTTCTTTATTGTATTTGCCTCCCAGTTAATTTTCATAATATTATGAATTCTACATTCTAAAAATCACTGTTTCCTCTGTTTTTTTAAACATAAAAGTCTAAATTTCTTTTTACTAATAGAAAGTATTAATAGCCAAGCTTTGCTAAAATTCTAGCACTCATGAGAATGAATTCCGATCTCCTTCAGGAGCTCCTGAGAAGGTACTCAGAGATGGATGGTGACTATGAGTGCTTGAACAGGTTCTCACTCGACTTGGAGAAGGAGACTAAGACCCAGAAAGAGCTGTCAGTCACTCTGAAAGCAAAGCTCTCACTTCCGTATCCGCAAACAAAAGAGATTGAGAAGCTACTTACTGTAAACCAGAGATGTTCCATGGAATTCCACAGAGTCCTGAAGAAACTTAAGGTACCAGCTTTTTTAGTATTAGCTTTATGCTGGTGTGATTATAATTTCAGTTATGCATTTCAATGTCTTTAAGTCCTTTGGGAGTTAACATATATACTATTTATGCAAACCACCACGTTAAAGAGTGTATGGGTCTGAAGATAGGTTTCACTCAACAAAACCTGAGCTCAGCCTATGGGCCTGACACCACGTGAGAGTGCTTCGCATCCAGTGATCTGGTGAGGCAGGCTTGTGAAGGCAGTAAGTGTCACCGTGGAGGCAGGGACAGGTTTGTTATATGACAGACTTTTCCTGGGGATACACATGTCTGATCACCCAGATAGGGAATTCACCACGGCAGACTAAAATAGCAATTGCACTGAAGTCTAACTCAGTGAACCAATGAGTTTATTGGGTTACAGTTTGAGGAGATACTCGAGGATGACAGCTGCCTTGGCCACAGCTCTCCCCAAAAAGGGTGGCAACTCAGGAAAGCTGCGTTTTCTGGAGCCTCCTGCATGTCATGGAGACAGCTCAATAATCTAAGCTCTCTCCTTGGCAACTTGGCTACCCAGGGCCTCCTCCTCCAACAGTTACTTTCTGCTTCAGAACCCTGAGGAGGCTCTTTGTGAATCATGTCACTCTCTAGGGCATGTAAAGTTTTTTCCTTTGTGAGCCTGGAGAGAGCCTCCCTTCCGTTCTGGAAAGAATGTTTCAATCTGAAGGAAAGTGTAGTGGGATAGACCTGTGTGAGGGAAGGCAAGGCTATGGAAGCCAGGCCCAGCAGTAAAACGAGGCGTTCACCGTGTAGATGACATGGAGCCAGTGACGTTCATTTTAAGTGACTGCAGGAACCAAGTTGGGTTATCATCTTAACAAACTCTACTGGAGAAGAAGCAAAAATGAGTTTGAAGAGGTTGTGTACACTGGCAGGGAAAACCCACTAACGCGGTCCAGTGAAATACTGTGTGACTGTCCTGCCAGGGAAAGTTCTGTAGGGTAGAGAAGACACATAGACTGAACATCCCAGCCGCTGACAATAGTAGGTCCAAACAGTAGATGGTGGAGGAAGAAAGAGGACTATGGATGAAGTCCCTAGACATGCTTGGCCAGGTCTGTGGTGGTGACTTTTTTTTAAAGAGAGAGTAACAAAGTAGGTGACTACGGAAGGGGAGATCAGTTTAGTTTGAGGTGTGTTGAAGTTGTAGTTCTCGTGTTGTACCACTCAAGAAAAACCAGGACATCTGGTTGAACCTGAGGTTTGTCAGGAGAAAAGTCAAGTGTGTATGTAATAGTGTAACATGGGTAAGGTGGGTCAGAAAGCATCTAGAATAAGAGCATTAGGGAAGAGGAGAACTCTAGAAAGTGTCTAGAAAAGAAAACTCTAGAATGAAAACCAGATATGGCGTCCAGGATAGACAAGGATAGAAGAGCTAGGCACAAGGCTGTTGTTCAAAACCCTTTGAGTGTCAAGATGGGGTTGGGGGCCTGGAAAGGATGCAGTCAGGGGCGTGCTCACCGTGCAAGCATGCGGGCCTGGGTTTGGATCCACAGCTCTCATGTTCAGAGCCAACATGGCGGCTCATACCTGTGACCCAGGGCTGTGGAGACGGTGACAGGAGGTTCTGGGGCTTCCTAGCCAGCCAGTCAGGCTGATTAGATGACCTCTGGGTACAATGACAGCTCCTGCCTCAAAAAATAAGGTGGGAAGCCTCTGGGGAAGTGGCCCAACATCAGCCTTCATCCTGTACATACACACACACACACACACACACACACACACACACACACACACACACACAAAAAAAAAAAAAAAGATAGTATGCCCTGGAGTGGCACCTACCTTAGCTGGAATATGCATTTCACTTTGGTGAAAATAGACTCATTGGTGGCCATAGTCGGGGCAATTGGAGGTTTAGAGAAAAGGTCAAATTACAAAGTTAAGTGGTTGAGGAACTAAGAAGCAGATATCTGCCATACCTTGGAAAATTGTTCCCAAGGTTCTAATAATCCTCTCATGGATCACCCTTATAAAATTTATATTGTCTGGGGAACATTGCAGTATTGAGATTTTCATTACCTTAAAGCCAGACGTCTAAATATGCTTGACAAGGAAATCTTAAAGCATGTCACATTTTTGGGTTAATCAGACAAGACTGGAAGAATATTTTGAAAATCTAAAATGGGACTGAAGAGGTGGCTCAATAGCGAAGAGCACTTACAGAGAACCCATTTCAGCTCCTCACACCCCATCAAGACAGCTCACATCACCTGTAACTATAGCTCCAGGCTTCCGACGCTCTTTCCTGGGCCTGTGGGCACCTACATTCATGTAACACCGGACATATACACATAACTTTATGTAAAATGAAATAGGATACATTTTTTTTTTTAATCTCAAATGTGTGACAGTAGAGGATTGCCAGTAACCAAAAATTATGTCATAAGGCTAGAGAGCTGGATCAGTGGCCTGACCCCTGGCTGCTCCTCCAGGGGACTCAGAGTTCACTCCACCATTGTACTGTGACTCACAGGCATCGGCAACTCCAGCTCTAGGGGATCCAGTGCCCTCTTCTGGCCTCCATGGACACCAGGCACACATGTAAGCAAAACACCCACACACATAATTATTTAGAAATCTAATAGGAAAAGGAGCATATAGAAAGGGCCGTGTGACACTTTAAGACCACTGAACCTGTGATACATCCAGTAGGACATCAGATATGGACATGGTAGTCTAGAAGGGTTACTTTTCCCAGGTGCTGAGAAGAGTAGCTTGGGGCAAAGAGTGGCTGCTTTCTTCTTCATCATCTATCACAGTATAAATAATAAACAAGAGACCTCCCCATCTCAGACATCGAAAGCGTCTCCTAAATACAATGTCTCATTTCTTAATTTGTCTTTTTCTTCAAGTATGTGTTAAGCCACATTGCAAGGATAAAGGAAGAACAACATGATTTCATCAATAAATTTGAAATGGCTTTTATTGAGGAAGTGGAAAAGCAGAACAAACTACAAATTAAAATACAGAGCTTTCAACCAGGTTATGATATTCTGTCCAGAGACTTACAGAGCCTCAAGCTGAGCCAGGATATGGACCTCCATATTGAGGTATACCTTATTTTTAATGCATTTAATATGGTTTTAAGATACCATTAATATGGTATCTTTTATGAATAGATACCTTTGTATATGTTTAGAGTCATTTTCATTCATCAGAAATCATTAGTTACTCATGGAATGGTAACTGACCAAGGGATGGCTTGGGACACTGTCTGAACTGCATAGACACAAAAAATAAACTTAACAGGCTGTGAGAATTAACAGAACTTTAGGTTTCCCAGTGTTTTCTTACATCCATGGCTGAAAGTCAGAGTTCTTTCCCTGTATCAGCTCCACAAGGACTTTCTTGTTCTCCCAACAATGTAAAGCAGGTGCAGTTCCCAACATGCAAATGAAGCCTGCTATGTACACAGAAAAGCAGTGACCAGGGCACATAGGTGAAATACCTCTTTCATGCAGAATATATTGCCAGCATTCTCTTATGCAAGTAATGGGAATAAAGTTTTAAATTAGGATTAATTTACCTTAATATCCTAATAAGTTCAGTAGAGTTTTCTCCCCATTATATTTTTATAGTTTTATGTTGGTTGGGTAAAACTTTTCCTAATGTTCATACAATTTGGTATCTGTTTTTTACACAGGAAATTCTCAAAGATTTTTCAGAAAATGATTTCCTCACCATAAAAACTGAATTCCAACAAGTCCTAAGTAATAGGAAAGAAATGACTCATTTATTGGGAAAATGGCTGAGTACTCCTTTTGATACAGAGAAGCTTAAAAGTGCCATCCAAAAAGAAAACAATAGCGTGTGCCAAGTGAATAACTTCTATAATAGCAAAATAATTGTGAGTATAATTGTTCATCATTCAGGTTCTTTTATTCTTTGCTTTTATTTTTCTACTCATTCCTATGAGGGTTAGACTTGGCGTATATTTTCTGTAATTTATATGTAGGTGCTCTACATATAAATTTTTATATATTCATATATATAACATATTTTATATATTATATAAACATAAATTTTGCTTGTTTAAAATGGATTCTTTTATTGTATTATGCTTCTTCAAGATAGTCAAACAGGTCTGTACTTGGGAAGGTGACAGGCTGTTTGTGTGTGATACTGAGTTCCCATTTTTGAGATTTGCCTCTGCTCACTGTTCTCTTTCAGTCCTCTCACTACCTGTGAAGACTGAACCTTTGCCCCAGTGGCCTCCAGGAAACTGAGACCTGAGTGTGTACTAAGGCTCTGGGCAGCAGCTATAGTAAAATCATAGAGTCCTGGCTGCCTGCCAGAGGGACTTATCTGCATTCACCTCAGGTGCTTTTCTGTCACGTGCTCTAATCCTAAATTGTACATTCCAGATGTGCCGACTGTTATTTTGGGTTTTGGCATGTATGTGCTGATATTTTTTCCAGTTATGTTTATGAAAAAAATTAACCAGCAATAACAAATATACTTAACCCTACAGATAATTTCTCCTATTACCAAGATCCTCGCCCATAATTGGTGTTGAAGATTCTGTCAGCTTCTAATGTGTTCTGACATAAACCAGTCAAACCAGTGTCAGGCAGCCTTCAGTGTAAAATGGAATAGTGGTTTTGACTGTTTATCTATATAGGGATAGAAGATTTATAGATTAATTAGCAAAAATCAGTAAATTAGGGCGGAAAAATCAGTAAATTAGGCTCAGCTGTTGAGAACACTAGTTCTCTTGCAGAGAACCTGGGTTAGATTCCTAGTACCCACATGGTGGCTCACAGCTGTCTGTAACTCTAGTTCCAGGGGACCTGAAAGCCTCTTCTGGTCTCCAAAGACGCCAGACACATACAAGGTGCATAGACAGAAATGCAGAGGAAATACCGAAATTCATACAACACGGTTTTAAATCAGTAAATTTTATTTTCTCTGTGAGCTGAGGTTTGTAATGAAGTGAGAAAATAGATAATTGTTAAGGCTCCTGTGAGTGCCCTGCTATTAATGACTTGAACCTACACAGTTCTTCAGGTCTTCCTCCTGTGTTACTGTAAATCTAATGAAATTATCTTTCGATCAGAATAGGCCTTCTTGGGCCTTATTCTTTTTATTCACACCATTGTTAGCATGCAGCATGTTGAAAGAAAGATGTGCATTCATTGTCTTGAGCACTGTTCTAAGATGTTCTAAATACGGAATTTCAGCAAGCACACTGTCCTAGAATTCTAGTGGTTTTTAACATAATTTTAATGCATCAATTATTTTGAACTGTTCATAGGCCATGATAAATGGATCCACAGAGTTTGAGGAAAAACATGCTATTAGATCCAAAGAATTGGAACACTTCCTGAAATCACTAAAAGAAAAAACTGAACAACTATCTAAAGACTACCAGACATTGTCCGCAGCCCATGTGTGTCCTACTGCACAGCCTCCCACACAGGACAGTAAGAATCTTCATGTTGCCTCCGGAGCTGAACAGCCAGCCTCAGAGGTATGCAGCTTCCTGGAGTTTAGAGCAAACGTATAGCACTAATGCGTTCTCTGAGTATGAATTCACTGCTGTACCTGTGTGTGACAAGCGACACACACATATGGGTATACTGTACTTACCATTCAACTAGTTATGAAATGTGGCTTCATGTGAGATCTCTCCTGTGAGTTCTAAAGCAGAAGGAAGTCATCATTTAAATATTATGTACAAGACAGTTTGCTGCCATGTATGGTATTTCTACAGTGTGCTATTAATTTCTTAAAATGTATGAACTTTAGCTAAAATGTAATATGCTCGGAAAACAAATTAGTTTAGAGGAAAATAGCAGTTTAGCTTATTTTTAGTTATTGTCTTACATATTGATTAATATGATCATAATAAAAAGGCTAAGAGGCTAAAAGTATGGCAGAACCATTAATTTATCTAACTTAGCAGCACGTGCGTAAGAATCGGCGTCCTCTGAACAATCCAGGTAAACTGTTCGCTGCCTTTGCTTGGGAATTGGTAACAACGGCAAATGTGCTGCTTTGTTTTTCTGGCATACAGAATATCCTAGTGGGAACCAAAAGCCAAGCTAATTTATTATTTCTCCCAAAACAAATACTTAATATAAAACATCAACTACTAGTTTAGCAATTGCTATTAGGAAGAAGAAGATCACAGGTTTTTGCTTTTGTTTTCCAAGTGTAACTGTATGTATTGTTATGGTTGACCATTTTTATAAAGTTTATACTTGCTGCTTCTTGCTTAGAAATGTTCTGTAGGCAGGGTCAGAGGTTACCCAAAAAGGTGTGTTTTTTGGTGAGGAGACTTTATTTTCGTTAAGTGGTTTCCAGTGTTTTGTTTTGTTTTTTCACATTTTTACCTTTCAATTTCTTTGAAAGTCAGAGTGCCCTTGTATTAATAGTGCTAATTAAAAGGTGCTAACTAGTGTGTCATATATATGCTGGGTTTTCATTTGCATGATTTAAAGAACCTGCTAGCAGGGTATAATGTGAAATGTTAACATTCTTTAACATGGAAAACGTCATTTTCTAAGTAAAAGGACTTGTTGGGGTGGGGGCGGTCTTTGTTTTTGAGACAGGGTTTTTGTCTGTGTAGCCCTGGTTATCATGGAACTCTAGACCAGCCTGGCCTTGAGCTCACAGAGATTGGCTTCAGTCTGTGAAAACCTAATAACTATGTATGATCATTTTTATCTCATTTAAAATACTGTGTAATTCTGTCTTTAAGATTTGTGGATTTGCCCTATGTATTTGTACTTTCTTTAACAGAAAATTCGGGAGCTAGAAAGCTCCCTACAAGAAGCTAAAGAAATTGCCATACATAAAGAAGGCCAGATTACAAAGATGCAGAAAGAACTAGCAATGACTAAGGATTTAGTAGCAAAACTCCAGAGCAAAGTTCATGAGTCAGAGGAGTGCCTTGAAAACACAAAAGTGACAGTACAAATACTTCAGGTAAGTTCGACCATTTTCCTCAACAAAAACTTGGCTTAGCCTGTTGGATTTGGCAGATGATTTGATGCTCGGCTCTCCGCCTTACTGTAACCTTGTATAGGCTCCTTTCACTTCTAAGGCTCCAAAGGAAGTACCTAGGTGACGTAGTGATACACGTGTAGACTACTGACTTTTTTTTTTTAATTGTTTGCTTGTTTTTTTTTTTCTTTGTTTGGTTTGGTTTGGTTTGGTTTGGTTTGGTTTGGTTTGGTTTGGTTTTTAGAAACAGGGTTCACTGTGTAGCCCTGGTTGTCCTGGAACTCACTGTGTAAACACGGCTGGCTTCATCCTCCCAGAGTTCACCTGCCTCTGCCTCCCAAGTGTGCGGATTAAAGGCGTGCGCCACCACTGCCCAACTAAGTGATTATTTTTATTGTGCTGGAAAAAAAGAATTTCAATGTACAGTAAGCATCACATTTTGTCAACCTACTTTGAACTGCCTCAGGCATCAAGGATGCTGCAGACACAGTAGAATTAGATTTAACGATGCACCAGGATATGGTTCTGCTTGTCATACTGAAGAGATCCATAAACTCTTCATAGTTTGACTTTTTAAAGTTGTTTCTGTGAATCATATTTTTAAGCCTGTGGCATCCAAAAGCACTTATTTCAATATTTACTCCTAAGCTGTCTAATATAATAGAGCAATTTGTTCAAATCAGGTAGCAGTGAATTTGTTTAAAACCTAAACTAGAGTAGGCCTTTAAAACCATCCTAAACAAATGCCTTTGCCAACATTATAATGGCTACAAAAACTAGAGTAAAATATTTAAACTTTAGCAAAAAGTGAGAACATGTAAAAAGAATGAGTATTTTAGAAAATGGGCTATAAAGTAAAAGACTTAGGATGCCCCAATTCAGAACTGAAATGGAGCTGTAGGAATTTTCCCATATTCATTCATTCATTTCTCTCCTTTTAGATGCTTATTATTTTTAACTTGGTTGGGGTTAGGGAGCAAATATGTGCCTGTGCCTGAGATGGTCCGAGGCATTGATCTCCTGGAGCAGGAGTTACAGGAAGCTCTGAGCTGCCTGAAGTGAGCGCTGGGAAGCAAACTTATGTTGTCTGGAAGAACAGATGTGTTGTTACCTGCTGAGCTGCCTCCTACCCCTTTTCTGTATTTTCTCAGTCTGATATGAGTCAAATCAAAGCACAAAGGAATATTTTTCTAGTATATGAATGGTTAACAGAATCCACCTAATCTACTGGCTAAACAAATCTTATTAGGTAGGAATTAATTCATAATAACCCAGAACACTGGAAGGCTGGCAAGTGAGTATCTCCCTGAGAACAGGTGATGTGTTTGCTATGCAGAGTTCTTACTGTCACTCATTTCTAAATCAGCCTTTTCAGTTTTGATTTCCTGAGGCAAGAACTGCTTAGGCAGTGTTTTATGTGATAACTTTCTTTGTATCATATCCAAAGACTACCTGTATAATTTCCACACTTTCAGCATCTACTGAAATTTTCTTGTTGGTTTGTTTGAACTTTTAAAGCAGTATGTAGACAAACAGATCAGTGAGACATAACAGATAGCCTAGAGACAGACATACTCTAAGGCAGGGATCTTTTTTTAAAAGGACAAAGGTCTCTCAGTGGGGAGAGGGCAATCCATCAAATATTGATGCTAGACACCTGGACACCACAAGTGTTTCTTAAGGCGGGAGTGACATGCTCACGTGGTTCTCGGAGGCTGAGATGTAAGGAAGATGTGCTTTCTGCAGCCCAGGACCTGCCTGGCCCACAAAGCACGAGCCCATCTTAAGAGACAAGATATGTCACGGGCATAAATGTAAAATACGATAATGAAGACAGCACAGGAGAACATACACGTCACCTTTAGTTAGGCAATGGCTTTTTACTTAAAACCAAAAGAACAGTCCATAGGATTAAACATAAACACATCAGACTCTTACTGTTCGGTTCTCCTCTCCAGAGACTCTGTCCAGAAGAATAAAGTAAAAAAAAAAAAAAAAAAAAGGAGAAAATATATAAAAGTTCTTTATCTCCAGATAAAGAAATACTGCAAGATAGACACAGAGAGAGAGAGACACATACCCTCCTAAAATTTAACAGGCAGGAAATCAAGCAATCTGATATGAAATTGGGGAAAAATTAGAATGAACTCACTCTCAGAAGATATATGGATGCATTCTGATATGTCTGTGCAATGTTATTGCACTATTAAAAAGTAATGGGAAGCTGGGTGCGGTGGCACACACCTGTATAATCCCTTGGGGGAGGCAGAGGCAGGTGGATCTCTGTGAGATAGAGGCCAGCCTGGTCTACAGAGTGAGTCCAGGACAGCCAAGGCTACACAGAGAAACCCTGTGTCAAAAACAAACAACAAAAGTAAGGACATAGCACAGTTGGTAAGTATGGTTGCCTGCCATGATGAAAGCCCTGGGTTCCCCAGCAGTGCTTAAGGTTTGGTGGCACAGCCTTCCCAACACATGGGAAGTGAGATCAAGAGTTTAAAGTATCTTTAGCTACATAGCAAGTCCTAGATCTGCTTGGTATAGAAGGAACATTGATTTAATAAAGACTGTATATGACAAACCTATAGCTAACATCACTGAAAGCTCAAATCATTCTCACTAAGATCACAAACAAGTATCTTCTCTCTCCACTCCAGAAAGACAGGAGAAGGAAGTAAAGGGGATACAAAAAGGAAAAGAAATCAAAGTATTCCTTTTTGCAGATGATTGGTTTTATACACAAAAGACCCTGAGGACTCCACAGAAAATCTCAGAACTGATTAAACAAAACAAAACAAACAAAAAAAACCTTCAGCAAAGTGGCAGGATAGACAAAAAATTAACACAAATCAGTTGCCTTCCTCTATAAACCTGTTCACAGTAGCCACCCACAAAAAAAAAAAACAAAAAAAAAAAAAAAAAAAAAAAAACACCTGGGAATAAAGCTCACCAAAAATATGAAAGAACCTATCTTTTAAAAACTAGGAAATATAGGGGGAGACCTAACAACTCATGAAAAGACAGGGGCAGGGCCCCTTAAAAGTATAAATCTAAAAGCCATCTGAAAAGACTTCCTACCCTTGTAGAAAAACCTAGAAGACAAAACTAGGCAAACAGTAAAAGATTCGCATTTGCCATGAATGGGGAGGGAGAGAGAGATGAGTAAGTAAAGTGTGGGGGATCTAAACAAACCTAATGTAACCATGGGCCTTGGTCAAGAGCGAGCAACTATAAGTACCCTATCAGGGAAGGGGTGGTAGTGCACACCTTAATAATGCCAGGCCAGCCGTGCTCTGTGAGGGGAGCCATATTGTCTGCATAGTAAGTTCCAGCTGATCCGGGCTACACAGTGAGACCCTATCTCCAAATAAAATAAGATGCCAATATTAGTTTACTTGTAGACAATGTACCATGAGAATTTTCGTGTACTTTTAGTTTTTCTGTAAACTTAAATAAAACTCTAAAAATAGTCAAGCTGCAGAATGGCTCATTGGTAGGGATGCTTTGCCACCAAGCCTGAGTGTAGTCTCCAGAGTCCACATGGCAGAAAGAGAGGGTTGACTTTGAAGTTGTCCTCTGACCTCCACTGCAAGCCATGGCACATGTGTATGCACACACACAAAGAAGGAAATTTAGAAAACATTTTAGTGCAGTCATGGTTTGCTTTAAAGACACATGTCTTTGCAGACGCGGAAGGCTACCTGTACTCCGAGTAAATATGGTTTCACTGAACTGCCCCGATCCAAAAATAGCTCCAGGGCTGTGCTGCTTTTGTTCCTGTCTGTTCCGGCCACCATGCTGCTCTTTTGTTTTCCTTTGTTTGCTCATTTCATTTGTTGGTTTGTTTGTTTCTTTAATTTTTATGTATATGAGTGTTTTTGCTTACATGTATGTCTGTGCTTGCTGGCACTTGAGAGTTGTCACTTGGGTACTGGAAGTTAAATCAAGGTTGTCTGTGAGAGCACCCAGTGCTTTTAACCACTGAGCCATGCGCCAGCCCTCATTGCATGATTTTTCAACCTTTCTGTTTCATTTGGTAAAGTATATCACATTTTTCACTGAGAATTAAGTGTTTGTTCTTTTGAAGAAAGAAAAAAGTATGTGCCTACATGTAGCTTCAGATAGACTTCACATTAAATATTGGGATATTATTCAATTAAAGTTAATGCCTTTGTCTTTCATTTGTCAGTTATAGTCAATTTTTAGGCACTGCTACAGCAAAGGCAACAAAACAGAGCTGGCAAAATCAAAACTAATCATTATTTTTCTTTACTTTTTTTCTATGAAAGAACAAAGTTGCTTTAGGAGCTGCACCCTATAAAGAAGAAATTGAGGATCTCAAAATGAAACTGGTGAAAATTGACCTAGAAAAGAAGGAAAATGCCAAGGAATTTGAAAAGGAGTATGTCTGTCTTCACCTTCATTGAACGTGTCTTTAGTCGCATAGCATTTCTTTATAAACTACACAAATATCTTTGCATTCGTTTACTTTCGAGAAAGCAATTTGTAAAAATATTTAGCTTTTAGAAATAGGTTTTGAGCTCATTCAATTGTGATTACATATGCAGATTATTAAGAACTAAGTGCAGTGCTAGGTGCTTGCCTGGAATTAACAAGGCCCTGGTTTCCATTCCCAGTACCAAAAAACAATGAGCACAGCTCTCATCATTGAACAGGGTGTCTTTGAATTTTCTTCCTTGATAATATATGAATAAACCTTAAAAGTGGCCTGTCATCCTGGTGTTGAGAGCCGTTGCTTTCCTGTGTGTGCACAGGTATTTGACTAAGGTTCTGTTCATTCCCTTTCTTCTCCCTGTGTGTTTCTGTGTGAAGATTATTTTCTTTTGTTACTTAGGACTCCACAGCATAGCCTCTTTTTACTAACTTACCTGTGTGTCCTGTTACAATGCCAGAAGTTCTTTCTATGTAGAGCATAATGGAAAGAGCATTCAACAGTCAGAGGAAGAGAATTGGAAGTCTGCCCATCACCTTAGCTTGTTAGCCTCATCCAGTCCTTGTGTTGAATAAGAGGGAGGCTTATGAAAGAGCATGTCCTAAGATGTGACCTAGCTCCTTAGAATTTCTTCCTTGTCATGAATTCATTTAACTCTGCCTAGAAAGTACCAACCTGTGAGTCCTCATGCAGTGTCACCAGCCTGGCATTGATAAGAGCTTATGGTTTCAATGAGACCAGTGTTATATTCTTAATCAGAAGGGTCAGTTTTACCTATAAAATACAATCTGCATTTATTTTCATAGTTTTGGGGGTTTTGAGGCAGAGTTTCTCTATATAGCCCTGGCTGTCCTGGAATTCACTTTGTAGACCAGGATGGTCTCAAACTCAAAGATCCACCTACCTCTGCCTCCCAAGTGCTGGAATTAAATGCCAGCACTATTTTCATAGTAAAAACAGTATAATTTTTGAGATAGCATTTTTAATACCATTGCTGATTAATGCTTGAATTGCTGGCTGACAATTCAGAATATATCTTTCTCCTGGAAGCACTGCTGAATTTGACCTTTGCTCTTTGCCATAAATCAGAGCTACAGTAAGGATTTGCTTTCCAAGTGTTTTGTTTTGTTTTTGTTGTTGCTGTTTTGGTTTGTTTTGTTTCTTTTCATGCTCTGGTGCTTTAGATCACCCTGTGATAACAGTTTTTAGTGGCTCAAAAAAAATTATTTTTTTCAGTATATAACTAAGACCTATCATGTTTCCAGAAGTTTTAAATGATTAATTTCTCAAGAACAAAGCTGACTGCTCCTACAACTGAACAGAGTACCTGCATTTGGGTGTAGGCGTGAGAGCCAGGCTGTATTCCAGGGGCTGATCTGTTAGAGCATAGGGGTGTTATTTCAGTATGGCATATCAAATCAGAACATTTTCTGCAACAGTTCTATTTACTCTTTCACATAAAATCACTTGGATATTTACATATTTTTATTATTTTATTCTTGTTAGAATTCTTTCTACAAAAGCCACTGTTGAACATCAAAAAGAAATGATAAGACTGCTGAGAGAAAATCTCAGAAGAAATCAACAGGCCCAGGATACCTCAAGTAAGTTGAAGAACGATGATGATGATGATGATGATGATTCAGTAAATCCCAACAGCAGTTTTCCCTCCCTCCCTCCACTCCTCCCAGTTCCCCATCACCACTTCCCCCATATCCTCTCCTCCATTTCCCCTTAGAAAAGAGCAGGCCTCCCAGGGACATCAACCAAACACCACATAACAAGATACAATAAGACCAGGCACAAACCCTGAAATAAAGGCTGTGTGAGGCAACCCAGCAGGAGGAAAAAGGTCTGACTGGTATAAGATGGAATCTCAAAGTACTTTTCATTTGCATTTCTCCCTCCGGTAGTTAAGAATTTAAATATTTCTTTAAGTCAGTGTTCTCAACTTGTAGGACATGACCCTCACAGGGTCACATATCAGATATCCTGCATGTTTACATTACATTACGATTCATAATAGTAGCAAAATTATAGTTATGAGGTAGCAACGAAATAATTTGATTCTCACCATAATGGGAGAAACTGCATTAAAGGGTAGCAGCATTAAGAAGGTTGAGAAACACTGCTGTAATTGTTTCTTGGTCTGCTGTGTTTCATCTTCTGAGAATTCTGTTTATTTCTGTACCTTCCTCCTTTTTCTTTTAATGTACGTGGGTATTTTGCCTGCATGTATTTCTGTATGAAGGAGTCGATTCCCCTGGAACTGGAGTTACAGACAGTTGTGATCTGCCATGTGGGTGGTGGGGGTTGAAGCCAGGTACTCTGGAGGAACAGCCAATGCTCTTAACTGCCCATCTCTCTAGACCCCACACCCCATTTTTTGTTTTGTTCGGCAAGGGGAGGTTTTTTTGGTTTGGTTTTTTAGATACTCTAGATGCTCTCTGTCAGGTGTACAATTGGTAAAATTTTATTTTTTTTTTCCCAGTGATAACTTGCCATTCTACTAGAATGATGGTGTCCCTTGCTATGCACAAGATTTTTAACTACGGTCCCAGTTATTAATTAGTGGTCTGTATGCTTCTGCTATGAGGGGGCCTATTCAGAAAGTCTTTTCCAGGGAAAGCCTACTTTCTCTGGTATCACATTCAGGATATCTGGCCTTGTGTGGATGTCTCTGATCCATTCAGATTGATTTTCGTGCAGGGTGACAAATACAGATCTATTTTCACTCTTCTACACGCAGCCCTCCAGTTTGGCCAGCACCGTTTGTTGGCAATGCTGCCTTTTCTCTACTGTGCGTGTTTTGTTTTCTGCTTCTTTGTCAAAAATCAGGTGTCCACAGGTTGTGGACTCACATACTGGTCTTCTGTTCCATTGCGCATCATGTCTGACTTTATACCAACATCATGGTTTTAGTGCTGTGTAACTCTCTGCTATAATTTGAAATCTGGATGGTGATAACTCCAGCAGTTCTTTTATTATTCAAGGTTGTTGTAGTTATCTTGGGGTCTTCATGTTTCCATATGATGTTTAAGATTATTTTTTCAGTTTCTGTGAAGAATTTTGAAGGAAATTTCACTGAATATATAGAATGCTTGTGGTGGGATGGCCTTTTTCAAAATAGTAATCCTACCGATCCATGAACATGGGAGATCATTCCATCTTCTGATATCATCCTTCAAAGTCATCTTCTAAAAATCTTAAGGTTTTTATTGTACAAGACTCTTGCTTGGTCAGAATTATTCCAAGAGTTTTTTAGGAAGTCTACTGATTTTTGTATGATGATTTTATATCCTGATTCTTTGCTAAGAGTGTTTATCAGCTATATAAGTTTTCTAGTGGAATTTTTAAGATCGTTTATGTATCAAATCATATATTCAAATAAGAGTACTTTGACTTTTTCTAGCTGTATCCCTTTGATCTCCTTTGGTTGTCTTATTCCCCTTAGTAAGACCTGGATCACTATATTGAACAGGAGGGGAGAAGAACATCTTTGTCTTGTTTCTGGTTTCAGTAATAGTGCCTGGAGTTTTTCTCAATTTATCCAGACGATGGCTGTGGGTTTGCTGTAGACTCTTTATTATACTGGGATATATCGCTTCTATCCTAATCTGTTCAGGACTTTTATCATGATAGAGGTGGATTTTTGTCAAGACCTTTTCTGTATTTAATGAGATATTCATCTCTGATCTACTGGTATACTGGACCAGTTCTGGTTTCTCAGATGCCTGAGCTCTATTGTACCTGAAATGCTAAAAGTGGACGTCACTAGTCTCACATGTACTCTGTGCCTTTAATGAACTGCTGGTGACCTTATGGGGTGTTCAAATAAGTGACAACACTATTTTTATACAGTTTTTTCTACAATGCTGACACAGGTTAATCTCATTGGAAGGTATGTTTAGTTCACACACGTATGTTAGTACATGTTAAGCACTTGCAATGTACTGAGTGACTTGGGGCAGAGTCTGCGCGGCGTGCCATGAGGGAGCAGGTGACAAGCCCCACAAGTGATTAGAGCTTGGGTCACCTCAGATGGCTCTGATTATAAAACGCTGCTGTTGCTACAGTGACGGTGGAGGGTACAGCTGTTGGAGGCAGAGTGTAAAGAAATGGAGACCTGATGACCAGATGGTCAGGCAGACTCAGGAGGTGATGGAGAAAGAAAAAATCAGAGATGCCCTCCGAGACATGGTTTTCATAGAGACTGTCACAATTTTTTATCTCTCTTTTATTTTAATATCTCTTTTATTTGAGCTAACTAAGATTATCTGCCTGGCTAGACATGGTGGCATATGCCCATAATTTCTGCACTTGGGAGACTGATGCGGGAGGATCAGTACCAGTTCAGTGCCAGCCTGGGCCACAGAGAAAGTTCCCTACTGTTTTTTGTTTTGCTTAAAACAGATTATCAACCTGTGTGTATGTGTGTGTGTGTGTGTGTTTCCCCTCCTGCAGTAATAGCAGAACGTGACTCTCGGCCTTTGAGTAAACCTTTAACCTGTGGAGGTGGCAGTGGCATTGTCCAAAGCACAAAAGCTCTTATTTTGAAAAGTGAATATCTGAGGCTGGAAAATGAAATGTCTAAGTTAAAGAAGCAAAATGACCAGCTAATAAAGCAAAAGAATCAACTATTAAGGTAAGTTCTAAACCAAGGCATGGTGTGGTGCATGCCTTTTATCCCAGCACTCTAGAGTTCAAAGTCAGCGGTGAATGGTAAGTTCATAGGAAGTTCCTGGACGGCCAGGGCTATATTATAAAGAGAACTTGTCTCAAAGAAAGCAAGCAAAAAAAAAAAAAAAAGAAGAAGAAGAAGAACCCAAATAAGTAAAAAGGGCAAGTTCTGCTTCCAGGACAGATCCTATATTTATGGCTACTTCATATGTTCTGCAGTTGTCAACCTTCTACTAATTTGGGGGAATGCAGTTTTTAGAGATTGTGTAATAAGTGTTTATTTTGAGGAAATGGGACTATACTGGCTCTGTTTTACGTTTATTATCCATTAACTGTGCAAGCTTGTGAGTGTGAGGACCAGAGGTCAGTGTCCTCCTCGGTCAGTTGTCCAGCTTGCTTTTGAGTCTGGCTCTGACTGAACCCGAAGCTCACTCACTGATCAGCTGACCTGGCTGGCCAGCAAGCCCCAAGAGCGCTGGCCTCCACCTCCTCAGCTGAGGCACAACATGTTCTGCGCATCCTGCTTTTTTACTGGAGTTCTAGGGATTAAACTTGAGTTCTTTACCTACTGAGCCATCTTCCCAGCTCTTCTGAACTATTTTTAGCTAGGCCAAGAACCGGGAAATGAACATTGAAAAGGCACCAGCCACAAGTCCTAAGCAGGCAGTGAAGCTGCCGTGCACAGAGCACCCCAAGTCCATTACTGTACCCTGTTGACAGACACGTCCCAGAATTGGATCATCTGGCTTGTACTACCATGGAGGAGTGGCAAACACTGTACTGATGGTACAGCCTTAGGAAATTACATGTTAAGTGTAAAGAGCTAGCAGGATAGCTCCATAGTGGAATGCTTGCCTACTATGCCCAAGGCCATAGAACTCCATTCCCCAGCACTGCAGAAAGGTATAAATGAACAAGATATCCCGAGTCAAATAACTTACCAACTAAATAATCTTACATAGAGTGACATTAAGTAAGAACAGAGGGCCAGATATTGTAGTGTCAAGCTGTAATCCCAGAACCCAGGAGATGAAGATAGGAAAGTCATGAGGTTAAGGCCACCAGAAGTCTATTGAGACCCTGTCCAATAGACCAAAAACAAAAAGCAGGGTGTGGGAAACGTAAATTACATTTTGAAAGAGGAATCTGATCCACGTATAGATAGATTCAGGGAGGTGGAGAAATAGTGACCAGGAAAATGAAGAGAAAGTAGGATAGATGAAAATATACTTTTGTAAAGTTTCAATAAACATTCTTTAAACCTACTTTATCAAATTACTATAGCAGCTCATAAACCACTTAATCTTAAATTCAAAGTTAAACTTTGAATTTATTTTTGTTTTCGAAACCCTATGATCAAAATTTTTTACTTTAATTATTCAATTTATATAGCTCCTTTTCTGAACCATGGAAGTAGTCCATACAGAAAGTGTTAGGGTGAAATTAAAGTGCAAATGTAATAAAGTGCTAAGTTTCTTGTTATATGTTTTAGTAGGCTAGGGTTCTTTTTTCCATGAAGAATTGAGTTGTCTGATCTCTCTTTCTGTTTCCATTCAAGTGAAAACTCTCAACTCTCCACGGAAGTTAACACCTGGAAGGAAAGGACTCTTAAAAGAGACTCTTTCATCGTCACAGCTCGAGAGGACTCTCCAAAGTCTCCTAACATGACTAGGGCAGATGCTAAAAGGAGACCAAACACACTGTCTCGGTGCAGGGAACAGAATTACCAGGATCCTGTACCAAAAGACTCACCAAAATCTTGGTTTCTTGATAACCGGCCCAAGTCTCTCCCACCACCTCCCCCAATCCGCTATTTTGATAACTCCGTTTTAGGGCTGTGCCCAGGTAGGTAACAGCCAGGTCGCCAGGGGTCAGTGGGGGAACAGATGGGACCCATGTGTGTTTGACTTCGTCTGCTGAGCCTGTGAGTCGGTCAGTGCCTCTCAGATGCTCCCTCACCTCTGCAGGACACCTCAGTCCTCCACGTGCTGTCAGGGGAGGGAGAGTCATTTCCACACAGAAGCGCCACGTCTGCCTCTCCACCCACTCCAGTCTGCACTCAGTTTTTCAAACACAACTACATACCTTTATCTGTGAGAGACTAGTGCCAGGGCCTCCAGAGAGCTGAAGTACAGGAGATCATAAAATCCTATGTACTGTTATTTTCTATGCATACAGGATATAGTAAAATTTCCCTCTTTCCACTTAAAGGAAGTAAGCATGGCTACGGGCTCTGCCATGCCATGATGCTCCATCTACCCACCAGCAGAGAGGCTGCTGATGGAGGGTTAGCACACAGTGGACAAACCAAACGCCGGTGGATGAGAGGCCCACTGCTCAGAGCAGCGCACACAGTCATGTTTTGTGGTTCCCTGTTTGTTGTTGAGGGGTGGTATCGGTTTGGGGGTTAGAAGTTTGGGTGTTTTGGTTTTGAAACAGTTTTACTATGTACCCAGGCTAGTCTCTTAATCTGCAGCACTTCTGCCTCCAGAATGCTGGAATTGCAACCGTACACTATTCCCATTCTACAGTTGCTCACCAAACAGTCTAGTATCTTGAAAGCTCTCAGAACTTGAGAGGTAGTCCAGCAGTCATGAAGGAGCACTTGCTGCTCGCAGCACCCACATGGCAGCTCACTACTGTGTAAGTTTAACTCCAGGGATCAGATTCCCCCTTCTGGCAGCAGCGTAAGTATGGTGCACACACATACATGTAGACAAACAATCCACAGCCTCCTCTTTAGCGGCTATTAAATATAAGGACACAAGGATACAACCTGTTGAGTCCATTCACCTTTCCTGCATGTATGTTTCTAGGGCTGAGGACTTGGAGCGTCAGTCAGGAAGCTCTTTTCTGCTGAAGATTCATTCCCCCTCTCTCAGAAGTTATTAATTGGCTGTAGCTCTTCATCCAGGGGCGGAGCCCTTTGAGAGTGCCCCGCCTGCTTTGGGATGTCAGCTGTTGTTGGAATTGTTCAGGTCTTGTTTAGAAGGCCACGTTGTAGAGATGTCACGGGCGTACCTCCCTACTATAAGAAACAGTCTCACACTTCCTCTTGGTCCTCTGGCTCTTACACTCTTTCCATCTCTTCCTGTGCCTAAGCCTTAGGTGTAGGAGGTGTGCTGTAGAGGCCTCACATGAGGCTGGGTACCCACAGTCAGTTGACCAGTGTTCTCATTTTGTTAGGGGGGAAAAAAAAAACTTCATGAGGAGTGAGACCTCCCCTAACCTGTGGGTATTTAAAAATAAGTATTTAAAATACAGTTAGGCGTTGTTGGTTTAGGAAAGTGGTAGTAGCAGGTTCTCCTGCTGGGTCTGTGATCTCCCCAGCTGTCTGGGCTTACAGTACCAGGAATGCTTTCTCTTGTGTTGGCAGGCCTTACGTCCAATTAGAAGCTGTTATTAGCCCCAAGATAAACGTGCCACTATTTAGCCACAGTGGCTATGTTACAGTTGCAGTCACTGTGGTCCCTAGGCTTCACAGCTAGGTGGGACTGCCAATTGCCTGTTCCTGGGCAGCTTGCCAAGCAGCTTCTAGTACTATGAAGCCACTCCTCTAGAAGGAGAACACACTCTGTTCCCCTAAAAATAGAATAAAGGAAAATCAGACAGTTCATATTTGAACCTTGAGCCCCAAGTTAACTGACTGAACACCCTTTACCCCTCCATAGTTTCCTGCAGAGTGTAGGTTCCCAACAGTTCACCATGTGACAGAATGGGGCACAGAGCTCTGACGGGGAGATGTACCTACTTTACCAGTCACCCTTCTTTCTTTAACTGCTGCGGTGTTTTCTGCTGTCTGGTATGCTTGCTTCTGGGTCTATTTGAATAGGGTTAATTTGTTCTTGTTTTCTTTCTCAGAGGAACCAGCTGCAGAAGTAGAGAATGTGGACCCTCAGACAGAAGTTCGTCAGCCCTCATCAGGAAAAGACGTGCCTGAGTGCAAAATGCAGTAGAGTCCCCACTCAGCATCCTTTGGAACAGTTCTCTTCATGTGTTCACCTGACAGTGATGTCTCAGTCCAGCTTAATTCCAGTGTAACTTCGCCATTATAATTAGAAGATGGAAGAACAAACTAATTTACTCCAGTTATTTAGGATGGTGATAGCAGTACTACTTTTTGCATTTGTGATACTCCCAAACGAACTGTTTTATTTATTTTTATATAGTCCAAAGAATAAAGGTCTTGCATAATATGCACATATTTCACTAAAGTTACTCATATAAGAAAATAAGACAATTCTAGAACACAGCACATAAAATAAAGCTTTGTCACAAAACTTTTCTTGGGAAGATGCAAAATAAATCTACTTACGCCAGATAGGGAGCCCATGACAGAGCAAAGCACAGATATTACCTGTGACCTCCTGGGTAACAAGGTTTTGTTCTGGCTGCCAGTGCCAGGCATGAACCCCCTCTCGTGGAGCAGGCCTTCCCCAAAAGGCTGTTGGTCTCACCCATGATAGACAAGCCACTATTGCATAGGCAGGTGCTGCCATGTTGGCATTTTAGCACACGATAGAAATGTTGGTGACAGTGCTCCATCAGCAGCCTCCAAGGCCCCTGAAGGCACTGGGAAAGCCAGCCAGCAGGGTAGGAGTTTCCAGTTCATTCCCAGCTTAGTTGCTCTGTGTCCTGCAGCCAGCGCATGCACAGATGTCTGCAGACAGGGTCTTGCTAGTTTGGACAACGGCAGTAGCAATTGCCTTTACGAGTTGTGGGGCCTTGGGCCTCCCTGGCCAACAACACACAGGGAGGCAACCCATCCCTGGCACTTGGGATTTTCAATCTAACCTTAGAGCTTCCGGGATGTCCTCTTCCACCCACCAGGGAAGCTCTTGGTTGTTATTTTTCTTTTAGTTAGCCCAGCTGCTGTAGGGTTATAAGGTAGCTGGAAGTACCATCACACTGGTTGTATCTCCAGTGGGTTTCTGAACTTATCCTGAGTTTAGCATTATGTCATTTATATAACAAAACCTTTTCCAGAGGATGTGCAGGACAAGGCAACATCCCAAACCATCATCCCATAACAAATGCTGCAAATGAACTTACAAAAATCACCCTGATGAAACACTGAAAGTCTGTGGTCATCTGTTAGCAGGTGTCAGGTAAGCGCAGTTCACAACTAAGAAGATGCTGAAGTGGAACATCAGCAAAGTCTCGTAGAGCGTGGAAAGGTTCCGTCCGCCTGATCGTCTGCACTTGTATCATTCTATCACGGTGTCTTCTGTGAACTGCTCCTCAGGCTTTAACGCAGTGGTTCTCAACTTGCCAGCGCTGCCACCCTTTACTACAGCTCCTAATGCTGTGGTGACCCCCAACCATAACATTATTTGGTTGCCACCTCAGAACTAGTTTGGCTGCCTCCACAGCAGTTGGGCAGATCCAAGCACTCACTGCAGCCTCACAAGCCACACTGACGGGCTCTCTGGCATCACTTGTTTAAAAGTCTTCAGTGATTCCAGCAGTTCAAGCACGGACTAGTTCCTGATCACCCCAATACTGAGCCATTGTTAATTCCCACTCCACCCCCCATCTGCATTCTGGATTGTAGACTTTCCCTTTTTCCTATTAAAGGCTGAACCACCGTGTCTTCCATTTTTACCATGTTGCCTCTCTGAATCGTTTCCCATGGTTTCCAAGTTCTTGCACCATGAGGGGCTTTTGAGCACAGATCTAACTTGTCCTGTTTTCCTTCTGGCCCCCTAGCATTAAGCAGCAAGCCAGCACCTCCATCTCCTCCCCTTGTCTAGTTTCCTTGCCAAGTCAGAGGCTGACAGGGAGGAGGATGCCACATAGCTTCTTGTCTTGTTGCAGTTGCTCCTCTATATAAACAAGCTCCTGGTTGGCCACCAACTCGGCCTCAGATGCATTTACACACAACAGGTAGCTGCCACTGCTTGCTGGAAACCTTGACCCTTGTGCACTAATCTTAAAGGCTGGAGGCCCTTAGCCTGTGGGTTGCAACCTCGTTGGAGGTGCGTATCAGATATTCTGCATGTTGGGTTTATATTATGATTCATAACAAAATTCCAGTAGCAACAAAATAATCTTATGGTTGGGGGTCACCACATCGTGAGAAACTAAGAATGAACTGCAGCATTAGGAAGGTCGAGAACCACTGCAAACCTTTAACTGTTCAGGGCATCTCTGTATTCACAGGGTAGACCCCACTCAACAGGCAGGTCTGGCACCCCATACCACAGAGATGAATACTGCCATCCTGGGATTCCTCCCACAGACTCTCCTAACCCTGGTGCCTCAGCCTAGTTGAACATCTTCCTACCCACAGCAAGAACCATGCTGTCATAGCACAAAGGCCATCAACTCACACTGAACGGACTCTGACCAGCTCCAGTATGTTGAACATGGCTCTAACAGGCCTCACCCTTCTCCCCCATTCCCTCTGCCTTGCTAAAAACTGTTAGATTACATTCCTAAAACTGGCAACCAAGATCTTCCTGAGGCTGACTACCAAGGTCCAGCTTTCAAAGTACTGAAGTCCATCAATCAAAAGCTCACCTAATTAACATGCTCAAATAAAATTAAACACACCATTCTAACATGGGGTTTCCCCTTGTACCTTTGTAAACTTCCATTTACTTATGTGCCTCTGTGTGTGTGTGCGCTCTCTCGCTCTCTCTCTCTCTCCAGAGGCAGGCCTTTGTTCTCTAGGAAAAATATCCTTCTTTCCTCTCCTTTGTTCCCTTCCCTTTCTTCTTCTATCTTCTGTTTTGGTCTCTTGTTGAGAACTTGGTCTTGGGGATCCTGAGGCCTTCCTTCTCCTTTCACAGCATACAGGAAAGGGCAATTTCTTCCATGGATGTTCCTTATTCAGTCTTCAGAGCCTCAGCGAATGCCTTGTTACCCATAGCCAGGACTGTGCACTTACTCCTCCCCACTCATCTTTGCCTCTGCTGTGTCAGTGTTTGGGCACCAGTTATGTTGGGAAGAAAACTTTGCCTGGGAGGCGTGACATACACATCTTCTCACCTCCAATAGGGGAGCCCATGACAGACCAAAATACAGTTACCACCGAAGTCGACCATGGGGAACCATGAGTTTCATTGAGGTTACTTAGAGTAATATGGGTGAGGAGTTAACAGGATCAGAAATGGCAGCTGCATGATCAAAGCTGCTGCCATGATCACATGATCACACCCCAACCCAGCAAAGGTGGGTGACAGCTCACAAAATCTGGGAATCTGGAGTGCAGCACCTTCAGGCAATTCAGCACACTAGAGAGTGTCTCTTCTGGTCTAACCTCTTCCAGTAGCTAGGTTTTGCTTCTTCTGGGCACCAGGTCTTCCAGTCTTCTTTTTAGCTTGTCTTTTCTGGGTCTTGTTCACAGCTTGGCTTGTTTGAATGTTGTCTTTGCAACTGTAGTGTTTCTGAGAGGGAGAGACCTAGTAAATCTGGTCAGTTTCAGGGACTTCCTGATGCTACTGTGAGTTGTTTTGAAAGGGTTAGACTAACTTTGTAACCTGTATGTCTTCTAAAGCCTATAGCTTTGAGTTTTAGGTTCAGGTTAAGCTGAAGCCTCTTAGTACCTTTTTAGAGAATGGAGGAATGTGACCCTATCTGTGAGGACAGATATAAAAAAAGGCAAGCAAGCAATGACCTTCACTCAGCAAAAAAAAGGACCAGACCCTTGTCTTTGAGATAGCATTTCTTAGCAACGAACCCAGACTTGTTCTGAGTAGCTTTTGACCTGTAGCCAAAAGTCCTCAGCCCCTAATCTTCAAGGATGAGCTAACCACCCCCACCTTCAATTG